TGCCTTGTGAGGCACCGCAGCAATCACAAAAACCATTTGTCTTTCGGGTTTTTCTTCCCGTGAGGCATTCGTCTTGCGAGGCACCACTGTATTCTGCACATATTCTCACGTGATGCATTCTTCTGGCCACATCCAGCCCAGTACCTCAAGCTCAAATTCTGAAGGTCCTGAGTTTGATCTGTAGAGGAGGCCTTCTGTAGAAACACCATACCTAATGGAAAATCTCTGATCTCTTACGATCTCGGAAGATAAGCAGAGCCAGATCTGGTTAGCACTTGTAGGGGAGAACACTGAGGAACAGGGGGGGGGGTTCCAGATGGAGGCAGAATCGTGCCTGAAACCCTCGTCTTCTTCTGACAGTCACAATTGAGAATACTAGCCTACATGGAGCAGAATTCTTACTCCAAGGCCAGTTGCTGTAGTTCTACATTAACGGGTGGGTTGTACACCTCTTTTGACTTCCAAATGGTTATGTGCCGTCAAGTTACTTACGGCTTATGGCAAACCTGTGAATTAATGACCCTCAAAAGATCCTGCTCAGATCTTGCAAACTAAAAGCCTGTGGCTTCCTTTATTGAATAGATCCATTTCATGTCCCATTCTTTTCCTTTCCTACTGCCCTCCACATTTCTTAGCACGCTTCTCTTTTTTTCCAGTGAGTCTTCTCTTTTCATGCAATGTCCAAAGTGCAATAACTTCAGTGCTAACGAGAGTTCAGATTTGGCCTAGCCTAGAACTGACCTGGCAGTCCATGTTACAAGAAAGAAATAGGATCTGACTCCATTTTAGTGAATGCTCAGTTTCCCAGGTTCTCTTGTTGGAATTGGCTATTTCCTCTTAGTCTAGATTGAGCAGTGGTTCCCAGCCTTGGGTATTCTTGGACTGCAACTCCCAGAAACTCCAGGCAGTACAGCTGGTGGTGGATGTTTCTGGGAATTGTAGTTACCCAAGGTCAGGAACCACTGATTAAGAAGATATTCTGAGCGTCAGTCTTCTCTTCCTCCTTCATCATTCTGTTCTCTCTGTTTTTTTGTTTTTCCAGAAATGCGACAGAAATTTGACTCTGGCGAAGACCCGCTGGACCCCGAGAATCAGCAGAGTGGGTCCGGACACCAGCACCAGTGGCCCTTTGAATTCAACCCCTTCGGCTCTGGGAACTTCCATTTCAAATTTCATTTCAATTAACTTTGGCAAAACCCTGGAACAAGGAACAGAGGCTCACAAAACAGAGGCATGGACCTCTGGGTCCCCAAGGCAGAGACTTTTAGCAGCCTCGCTGGTCTGCATCTGAAAAGGACCTCTCTACAACAGTGTGGCCAGGGTGGGGTGGGGTGGTGGACTTCCCTGCTGTTTCAGACGTCAGGTTCCATTTGGCTCGTTGCAAGCAGAAGCCAAGATGTCAAGGACGATGGAGAATCTTTGCTTCCAGCAGCAGCTCCCAAGACCAGATCGCTTCGAGAGAGGATATGGAATGCCTGCGGGGCCGGACACCTCTCCAATATCCCGCCTTTCGCCACCAACCCCTGCAAACGTTAGGTTAAATTTAATGCATTTTGTGCAGTCTCGCTCAACAAGGCTGAGGTTTCGCCTCTTTTGCAGGTCATCGTGAGATAACGGATGGCCGGAAATCTGCTCTTCCCACAGCCAAAGTAGCTTATATACAGTCCCAGAACAGCAAAGATTTTTTTTCTTTTTAAGTATGCTGTTTCCCCCCACATTTTCCAGTTCCGTTGGCTGAAAAAAAAAACTTCTTAGCAGAAAGCATGGGCTTTCTGTAATGCCGTTCATGGGGCGATCACTGTGGCTGATTTATTGAAACATTTTGTCTCCACTTTCTGCTGAAGGGACATGAGCCAGTTATTAAACTTGAATTCCCTTTATTGGACCCCCTCCATGGCTGAGGAGAGAGGAAATCTGTAGGTTCTGAGTTTGGTTTTTCACATCTCTTTTACAATAAGATGGATTCTGGCCTTAAACTTGAATTATTCGTTCCTTCAAACCTCAAAGCACTTTGGAGGGAAAGAAGCTTGTTTCCGCAGCCCTCTGAAATCCCCTTCTACTCTAGAGTAGAGGCATACAGACTGTATTCTAGTCTGTATGCCTGTATTCATACACACAGCCTCCACTGTGCAGAATTCAGTGAGTTGTGGGATCGAAACCACAACTCCGTACTTATCTACTCCAGAGTTTTGCAACTGTGTAGCTGGAAGGCTGACATTCTGCAGCAGAGCATGAAAGCGTCCCCTCCCTTCCCTGCAGTTTGACAAAATGAATTTATTTTTCTCTTGTGCCCTTCCTGCCACCTCCCCGCAACACAGTGGGTTGATCTGCTCCAGTCATCATCCTGTGGCTGAGCGGACGGACCTTTAAGGAAGGGGGTATTGAACTGTTACCACAAGTATCGAGATTAAACATTTCTATTGCAAAACAATCTGATGTTTTCCTGTCCCATTCCTCTTTTGTTGGGGTCGGAGCGGAGGAAGCTTGCCTGTTTCATCCGTGGTCAAGTCCCAAGGTGGAGAAAATGAATCATGCTTCCACCAGATTGAAATCAAAGGATGCCTCTCTCAGGAGAATCTAAGGATTGTATCTGGCATTATCTAGATAGCCTGGGTGAGGAACCTTTCCTCAGCCAAAATAAATCCACAGCCTGTGCTGTGTATATTTTGCAAGAGAGTTTAAGAATGGTGACTGCAACCCTATGCAATGACTTTGAGAGTAAATCCCACTGCACTCATGGGGTTGCAGTGTTTATGATTGAAAGTTGAGGAATTGAAGTGTGTGCTTCTTTTTCCTTTTTTGGGGGAGAGGTGTTAGTGAACCCCAGGATAACTTCCAAGACTCAGTTCTGCATGAATGTAATGCAGTATTCTCACCCACTCACCTGCACACGGAAGCAGAACAGAAAAATTATGTTGGCATAAAAGTTGGCAAGAAGCTGTAGATCTGTGGTTGAACACACACTTGATAGAAGGAGTTCCATGGTGCAGTGATTAAACTAGTACTGCATCCGAAACTCTGTTCACAACCTGGGTTCAGTCTCAGCTGAAGGTTCGCTCAGCCTTCCATCCTTCCAAGGTCAGTAAATTGGTAACGCAGCATGCTGGGGGGGGGGTTGCAATGTGTAGCCTGTGGAAATTGTCAACTGCCCTAAGAGTGCTTCTTAAGTGCTATGGGGCAGTCCATAAGCAGCACACTTTGCCCTGGATTCAATCCTTGTTACTTCAAAGTGATGCTAGGAAAGACTCTGGCTTGAGACTCTGGAAAGGCACCATCCAGTGTTGCCGTGGATGGATCAAGGATCCATGCGTCCCGAGAAAAAGACCATTTGCAATGTTTTCTACTGCAGAGGGAGATACTTCTCATCACTGCCGGGAGTAGAGGCTACTTTCTGCAACAGAAACCCTCCTTCAGGACAAGAATAGGGTGCAACGGATGCTTTTCGGGGAGGAACCATCTTCCAGGGCTGCCTTACCTCTGCCTTCCAGCTGCCTTACCTCTGCCACCTCAGTTGGGCCTTCATACCAGCTGGGCACTGTGCAACAAGAAGTGTTACACAGCACAACTCTAGGCGCACAAGCTGGGGGCATGCTTCATTGCTCCACCAGTTCCAGTGAGCAGGTCATTGTCATCCCCGAGAACTAAGGTAGTCTCCTATCTCAGAGACTCAAAACTGTGAAGCAGGACACGTGGTTTCCTTCAATCTTTGATCAACCAGTTCTATAAGGAGGGAGACCCTTCATATTGACCCTACCTTGCAGGGAGGGTTGTTCAAGAGTTTGTGAACGACAAGAACAGGTTAGGATAGCAAACGTCTGGCGTTTACTGAGGGTTGGGCAGGAAAACTGCATGACAACGAGGTGAAAATGGAACCGAGGCTTGTGGTTTTTAGATGAAACCCTCCATACACTGATTGTCCCCCCTGAGGTGTCATTTTAGAGTCACCTGGATGTAAGGTATCGGCCTTCCGTTCTCTTTCTCAGAAGCTTTTCCTGCCTAGATGGCTGCTTGATTTTTAGCACCTCTGAGGCAGCAGATTGAAATTCAGAGATTATAAATATGGAGCCAAATGGTATTGTGTTTTTAGTATGCATTATCTTGGAAGGGCTTTTTCCGTTTCAAACGGCTGCACCTCCTTCCCCCTCTTCACCTCTCTGTCCCTGCTTCCCGATCCATTAGCGTCACGTTCCCAGGAATAGTTTCGAGGGGATGGAAAGACCACAAAACAACTTCCATAATTTAAGAAAAATAGCATTTAAAAAAAAACACAACCGCATGTGGGTTCAGCTGAGGTCCACCCCATCGAATCATTGCTAGTTCTCCACACGGAGACACAGGAAATAATGACAAAATCAGGCCCACCTTACGTGCAGATTGAAACCCCACTGTGCTCCATCTCTCCAATCTGAGGGGGATAAAAAAAACACCACAAGGAATTTCAGTAAAAGGTTGCCTCGAAAAAGGATGTGATTTGACTGAACCCCGGTATCTTTCATTTACAAAATCAACTCTCTTTTCTTTTTTTCTCCCAACCGTAAGAAAACCCAGCAAAGTGTGTCCTTTTTTTACAGAGGAAAAATACAACACAGAGACAGCTGTCCTCCACAATAAATAACCCGATGCGACGCAGGCTCAGTCCCTCTGTCCCCTTTTTCAGCATCATCAGGATGGGAAGAAAGGTCCGAACAGCAGAAGGCGTGAGACGAGAAAGGTCCTTTTTCCATTTTTCATCTCCGGAAAACGCCTTGGGGGTTCTGGGCTGCCCCATGGGTCATCGAAAGAATGTCTTTGATGAGGGGTGTCACACATACACACGACCCCACGCTCCGGCTTAGACATAAGCATTCTTGCCGTATTTTCCACCATTGCTGCTGGAGTTGGAGTCTGCACGAGGCCGAGGGCCTGAGGTCACACCGGTGGACAGGGGGCCCTTGGCGCCTTTGTATGGGTATGCATAGCTGTGAAGACACACAAGGGGAGGAATTGGCAACATCTCTGTTAAAACGGCTGGCAAGTTTTGATCCACTGTTATACAGTGGTGCCTCGCTTAACGATTGCCTCGTTAAATGACAAACCCGCTTTACAATGAAGTTTTTGTGATTGCTTTTGCGACCACAAAACGATGTTCCTATGGGGAAAATTCGCTTAATGATGATCGCCCCCCTGCTTCGGGAACCAATTTTTTGCTAAACGATGATTTAGAAACAGCTGATCGGCAGTTCTAAAATGGCCGCCCACTGTGTAAAATGGCTCCCCGCTGTGTTTTCAGGACAGATTCCCCGCTTTACAGGCAGCGAAAATGACCGCGACTATGGAGGATCTTCGCTGGACGGTGAGTTTTCAGCCCATTGGAACACATTGAACCAATTTCAATGCATCTCAGTGGGGTTTTTCATTTCGCAAGACAATGTTTTCATAAAATAGCAATTTTCGCGGAACGAATTAACATCGTCTTGCGAGGCACCACTGTATTATTTTTTTGAAGAAGCTGTGGTGGAGGTGGAAGGCTTGCCCCCCCAACCATGAATGATCTCTTGTTTTTTACTCATTTATGCAGCAATTTCTGAATGAAACGAATACCGCTTGAGAAAGAGTCATCGTCTTTTTTTGAACACAGTGCCTAAGAACTTGGGGTTTGTAGTGTCCTCTTCCAGAGGACGGAGGATGTCCAAGCGCTGCTACAAGCACGGCACAACATCACTGTGGCTATGTTTTGATCAACCAAGCCAGAAATAGAGTGTGAACCCCCTTCTTCTTTTCTGGCTCTCTTCCGTTCATCGACAACATGATTATCAAAAGGAGGAGCAGGGCTTTTGTAAAGCCAATGTCTCTTCATTGCTCATTCAAGATCAAAGCGCCCTCAAATACTATTCATTACAGTGATGGCTTGCAGCAATACACTGATCTTGGGAAAAAAAGCTATTTATCTGGGAATTGCAACTAAGCTGAGGGGATAGGAACGCCAGGGGGAGCAAACGATGTCATAGTCCCTGCCAATCAGAAAGTCCTGGGACTTTGACCCTGCAAGCCTCAGTTCCATTATACTACAAACATGCAAATCCCCCGATCTTCTAGTCCTGCTCCTCGGGGGGGGGGGGGAGAGGCTGTTGGAAATTTCTCTGTATCTTTGCCAGATTCCCCTCCTTGCCAAAAAATAAAAGATCTCAGTCTGGGGAGTAACACCACACTCACCTCTTTTCCCGTGATGAATATGTCCTGCATGAACTGAACAGACATGCGCCCCCAATAATAACCAGCAGTGACGCGCTCCAGCCCAGGTAGAGGGCGGGTCCAATTTCATACCTGCAGAATCAAAGAAGAGACGTTCACCAAAAAGAAAAAGATTGAAATCACAAAGACACTTTCATTTTGGGAGTGACTTCTTTCCACCTACCGCCCTGTGGCTTAATGGAAAAAATTCTTGAGGTTTGCAAAAAAAAAAAAAAGTTTAATTCATGGCCTCTGCAAGGGCTCAGTGACCTTAAACTATACCTATAATCAAGGGAACCAAAAAATCACATGTAGAAATGCTTCAGCATTCATCTAAGATTTGATGACTCAGTAGCTTGCAGAGTTGTAAACAGTGTCATTAAGCCCTTCCCCTGTACTGGGTTGTTTTGTTTCTTTAAGAGGCAGGAAAACCTGTGACATTATAACTTGTCTTACTCATTAACCCTCTTATAGAATGGCTGGATAGCTCAGTGGTTTAGGCATCTGGCTATGGAGCTAAAGGTTGGGAGTTCAATTCTGCACTATGCCTCTTTGACAGAAGCCGAACTCAAGAATCCATTGGTTCCCTTGCAATTCTAAGATGGTGTATTATTATTCTTATTTATTACAGTTGTCATTGCACTGTAATTGCACTCAGCCACCCAGCACATACTATTGCTCTGAAGTGACAACCCCGAACATACCCAATAAGCCAGACCTGGGCAAAGTGCAGCCCGAGGGCCACATACAGCCCGCGAGCCGCTCCTGTCCGGCCCGCGGACAGTTTTGAACATCAAAACCATCTATAGCTTTTTGTCTAAAGTTGATAAGTTGCTTATATTTAACACGAAAAAACTCTTTAGTATTTGTGAAGATTAACAAGTTTAAAATAAAAACAATCATAACATCACTGTTTCATTTTATTTTTAGGTAAAATTGGTTCGGCCCCCCAAACACCGTTCAGATTTTTCATGTGCCCCCCCATAGAAATTAATTGCCCACCCCTGCAATAAATATTTTAGCACCCTCTAGTGGCCGATTCTGATATCCTACCTGGCAAAGAGGTGTAAGAGGTGCAAGGAGGAAAACAAATTAAAATGTCACGTCCCGAGCTTAATAAATTAAAAAAAAATAGAAGAAGAAGAAAGAGAGGCAAGGTGGGACCCATCTTTAGGGTTGCTGGATCAGTGACACCCCCTCCCATTTCCTGAGATGACTTGGGCCCAAATACTTTTGTCTCAGGGCCAATCCTGCCACTGCTACCTCCCTGGACCCCCTCCCAACCGCACTGTAGGCATCTTAAACAAATTCAGGATACCCCTCATATCAACATCGCCAAAGGCTCCTTTTCCATATCCTCCACCACAGCTTTATGGACTTACTTTGTGCCCACAAAGAGAGGGTTAAAGAAATCACGGGTGATGTTGGCAGCGTACCAGGAGACCGTGACCATTCCGCAGATACCTGAGCCGGAAAAAGATCTATTTAGAGAAGTTACCCAATGGCCTTCTAGGCCCCCTTCTAACGTCATTCTTCTACAATTCCAAGTAACTTTAAGAACATAGTGTGTGCAGGACACCCATGCGGTGCTGGGTTTTTGCAAAGAAGCTGCCCTTTAGAGCTTACATTGATGAGGAGCTTCTAAATATCAGTCCGTCCGTCCATCAATCCATTAGTCCAATTAAATCCATTCAATCTCCCAGAAGTCTTCACTGCCAGCTGTGCCGGCTAGGATTTCTGGGAGCCGCCGTCCGAAATCATCTGGGGACCCCTGGTTGGGAACCCCTGAATTAGTCAGTACTGCTAGAATAATGCACATTGAGGAGTAATGCGAGAGGTCTATAAAAACCTAACTTAGAGCTAATACTGTATATTCCTTAAGGCTTCCCTGCACCAATGTTGCTGATCGTGTCTCAAAAAATGGCCACTAGAGGGAGACAAAGGATTTATGGGAACGGACCAATGGGAACATTGCACCTAAAACAAGATACAGTGGTGCCTCGCTAGACAATTACCCCGCATGACAGTTTTTTCACTAGACATTGGCTTTTTGCGATCGCTATAGCAATTCGCAAAACAATGATTCCTATGGTGGACTTTCGCTGGACAATGTTCGGTCCCTGCTTCGCAAACTGATTTTCACTAGACAATGATTTTGACAGCTCCTTCCGTGCTCGCAAACAGGTGCTTTCGGGACCTAAGCTTTGCAGGACAGCGATTTAAACAGCTGATCGGCGGTTCGCAAAGCAGCTTTCCTATGGCCAATCTTCACTAGACAACAACAATTCTTCCCCATTGGAACGCATTAAACAGGTTTCAATGTATTCCAATGGGGAAATGTTTTTCACTAGACAATGATTTCGCTAAACAACGATTATAATCTGGAACAGATTATCATTGTCTAGCAAGGCACCACTGTACAGGTAACATCTGCCTCCGATGAGTCAGTGACCTATTGTTCCCCTTGAGCTGTTTTTTGTTTTTGCTTTTTTGTATGAGGCAACTATAGTGGGACCCCCCTCCCCATATCCATGGGGGATTGGTTCCAAGCCCCCTGTAGTTCCTGAAAACTGCATCATCTTATCAGCGACTGTTTGCTCCCCTTGACATCTCCATTGATGGGCGAGGATAGCAGTTTCCCATCCAGGTATAATCCAAATGTTCTTGGACTGCAACTCCCAGAAACTCCAGTCAGCACAGCTGGTGGTGAAGGCTTCTGGGATTTGCAATCCAAGATCACTTGGCTTGCCCAAGGTTGGGAACCATTGGGTGGGGGAACAAGGAGGTTTTCCTTTGCTTTCCATGCTGTCGGTATGCAGCCGAATAGGACTGGCTCAACGGAATTCTGACAACATTGGGTTCCTTGCGTGAAAGAGAACATGGACATTATGGGAGCACCAGAAAAGGTGCAGAAGTGGATTAGAGGGAAAGCAGATTAGAGGGATGGCTCAGTGGTTTAGATCTCTGGCTACAGAACCAGAAGTTTTCCTCACTGTGCTTCCTTGATAGGAGCTGCACTTGATGATTTATACAGTCCCTTCTTGCTCTACAGTCACTAAGAAGATGAAGAAGAAGAATACAGATGAATGTTGCACTTTTGCTCCAAAACGGTAACTTTGGCGGCTGAGGGACTCTGACAGGTTTCACCCAAAGGAATAACTTTTTCAATCTCTGAATATATTGCACCGTACTTTGCTCTCCTGACCCATGGTTCCCACTTCATCGTCTGTCCCCTTTACTTACCAGCCAGGACAAACATGAAACCACTGAGAGCAGCCATCTTGGACTTCATGTTAGGGTTGTCTTCTGCCACCTTCGTACACTGCAGCCCCATCATGCCGCAGAGGATCCCTAAGAAGCCCAGCACCAAAGCGCTAATCATGAGGGCCCGAGAAGCTTGTAGGTAGGCTGGAGAAGAAAAGAGGGAGATGTGATCTCAGATGTGCAGAGTGGATCTACACTGCATAGCCACTGCTGTTCAAAACCTCTTTAAATGGACACATTCTATGGATTCCCAGGGAGTATGGTAGAAGACTTAGGATTCTCTGCTATAACGCTGTAGTGCAATAGTTCAAGAGAGGGACCAGAGCACTCCAGCGCTAAACTCACAGCGCCTCACCAAACTACAGATCACAAGATTCTCTACAATGAAGGCATAACCGTGAAAAGGTTATCCAATTGCAATAATGGATATGATAGAGGCCCTCGCCCAGAACTGCCAACATGATTAAGGATTCAGTCCTGAATTAAGAGACAACGTTCTCTTTAAAATACAAGAAACCGCTCTTTTGAGCTGCAGGTTCTAGGGGAAGCACCCTTTTCTTCTTGCAAATCTTGAAAAAATAAACTTCCATTCAAAGCAAGAGTTGTCTTTAGGGCGTATTTCCGACCACAAGAGATCATAGCTCTGCTCTGTAGCTCAACACGTTGACAGGCTTTGTTATAAACAATGAAATGGACCTGTTTATCAGCCGCACACGCAAAAACCGCAAATCCGTTCAGCTTTCTCTTTAAGCTCAGGGTCTGTTTGACCTATGTTGACAACCTTGTTATGTTTCTCAGGACCAGTCTTTCAATAGGCTTTCCTTTCCTTCTCTTGCTTCCTTTATACACATCCATTTCTACACAGCGAACCAATCAAGTCCTTGTAAGAATTTGCTGGGCTGAGCAAGACCTTTCTATTTATTACTCTATATGGCAGTGGCTCCCAACCCAAGAGGCAGATGTTCTTGGACTACAACTCCGAGAAGCCTTGACCTTTAGCTGTGCAGGCCAGGATTTCTGGGAATTGTAGTCCAAGAGTATTTGGGGACTCAGAGCCTGTTTAAAGCCAGCCCTGGTACATTTAATCTGCAATTACCATACCATGCCATAGTAAATATGGGGAAAGAGGAACATTTATTCTTATGTCAAACTTGCCACGATACTCCGGCCAAAGCGATAGATGATCTGGTATCATCAAGGATTGATTACTGTAATACATCTACAGGGGTCTGCGCTTGAAGACTGTGCAGGAACTAAAGTTTTAACTGGTGAAAATTTTAACTCGTTAAAAGGCAGCTGCTTGGTTGTAGTTCAGAGTTCAGAAATTTTATTCCCTTTTGGGGGACTAAAAAGCAATGTTTTCAGGGTCTGATAGGGCTATCTAAACAGCCACCTCCCTGTGCCTCTAGGAGCACAAATCCAGAATCTGTAAGTTCACAATTTCACAACGGGAATGTTGCCGTCCCAATATAAAGAGCAATGTGTAGGCACTAATTGTAAAAATGCATCTACACTGTACATTCCAGGGTTTGTAGCTTTGGCAAAGACACTGCAGCTCCCTAGCAGAGAACCTGACTTTCTCGCTGAACTATGAATATCAAGATGGTGCTAAAACTACGATAACTGTGCAGGCAGATTCTGTGATGCTACACACTACACCATTTCCCACACTGGAACTGCTGCTGAGCGATAGCTTTAATATTGCTGCTGTCTTGTGGGGCCATTATTATAAGACAATCACAGGCGTGTTTTTAAACAAGATCCTGCTTTTTCAGCTACAAATCTTGAAGCATCTTATGATGTTTACAGAAGGCTTTGGACAAAGCTACAGTCCGATTTGGCTCACCGGTGCTCATTGTGACAATCTAGAAATGCAGGGAGCTGTGCTGGTGTGGGGTGTGACTTTCTCGCAGGTGGACCATAAAGAAGGCTGACCGCCAAAGAATGGATGTTTTTGAATAGTGGTGCTGGAAGAGACTCTTGAGAGTTCCCTGGACTGCACAGAGAACAAACCTATCCATTCTGAAGGAAATCAACCCTGAATGCTCCCTGGAAGGACAGATCCTGAAGCTGAGGCTCCAATACTTTGGCCACCTCATGAGAAGAGAAGATTCCCTGGAAAAGACCCTGATGTTGGGAAAGTGTGAAGGCAGGAGGAGAAGGGGATGACAGAGGATAAGATGGATGGACAGTGTCATCAAAGCGATCAACATGAATTTGACCCAACTCTGGGAGGCAGTGGAAGACAGGAGGGCCTGGCGTGCTCTGGTCCATGGGGTCACAAAGAGTCGGACGGGACTTAAGGACTAAACAACAAAATGCTGGCCTACATAACAAAATGAAAAAGCCCCCAAGCAATCCATTTTCAGGCCAGTCAGGCGCCCGTCTTTTGTAAAGCTAATGACTCTTAGTTGCCTCTTTAGAGCCAGCTCAAGAGGGCTCCTTCTCAACAGAACTTTGTGACTGAGGAAATCCATTTCCACTCCATTCACTCTGAATTTTGCGGAGAAGCTGAGAATCAACAGGGGTTCCCATGACATTCTGGTGCTCAGCCCCCTTTGTCAATCAAAAAGTCTTGGTTTTCCAGTCTGGGGCAGGACTTCTCTTCCCTCCTTTTGTGATTCTTCGTGAAGTGACTCCTTGTGGGTAAAGACCACTAGAAAAAAGGGGGCTGGTGAAAAATATTTCAGAGCCTGGGCCAGCTGAACCCTCCCCATCTGTTCTAAGCCTAACCCTATGAATCCAGTATTTGAGCTAGAAAAGCAGAGGCTGTTACAGGGCATGTGAATGCATAGAGCAGATGAGCAGTAACAATGGCCACCTCTGGTGTTATGTGTTGGTGGGCAGCTCTGGGAAGTTATTTTCTTCAGACCACAATGGCCAGGACACCCCAGGCACACATGGGCAGAGGCTTGGATGGTAGGGGATTTTGGGAGATGTCATTCAAACAAGTAAGTAACATCCAGCCACTGACACAGGGTGTTCACGCAGCCATCCGCGACGGCACAGCCATGAGCCAATGTCCCTCTGCAGGATGCCAGACGCACCCCAGGGCCTGCAGCATCCAGGTGCAAGATGAGCCGAAAAGTTGGCAAACTTCTTTTGGCTGTCCCCCCACCCATCCGCTGCAAAGGGAGGGAGTTTGGGACATCACACACACCCCGCCCCACCTCGCCACTCATGGTAGGTACACAGCTGTGTGGATGCTTTGCAGCAAGCAGAACCCTTCTGCAAACAACGGACCAGGATGCAAGGAAGCACAATAAACAACCCCTTGGCATGTGGGGCTACCGGTGGAGCCACCAGGCCCTTCTAGGTCGTCTTCTTCGCCTTTTGCTAGAAGCCCATCATGAGGGAGGTTGCTCCTTTACTGCCCCCTGCAGGGCGTCAAGAATACTGCCTGGGATGCGCAAAGCGCCACCCTCCGGATAGATCTAGGAAATTTAACAGGTGTGTGCCGAGAGAATTCGNNGGCCAAGACGGCGACTGGATTACAGAATCCATCAGCCTAGCCAAGCGGGACCCATAGCCAAGGATGATGGGCACTGTAGTCCAAAATGTAGGCTCGGCATCAAAGGTGGGAAGGTTGCTTGCGGAGATCTGTGGCGCGCCACTTGAAAGAGTCCGCGTGCTAGGAAAGATGATGGCAGGAAAGGCTCGTTTTTTTAAAGAAGAGAATTAAGGAGGAAGATTTCCTGAAGGTGCTTAAGGGAAACAAGGTATCCTCGCCTCTTTCTCCAATACGTTCCTTAAAAACCGATTTCACCGACGCTCCGCCTAAGTTCACCTTCGCCTAAAAGTGAACTAGAGTCTTTCGGAATTCCGGCCGCGCCCTTCCTTCTTTCGGGAGCAAGGAACGAAATGTAACGGGCCACGCAGGTGTATTCTTCTCCGAAGCAACGGATGCCTTCGGAAAGCCAGCCGATGGAAAGCAATGGATGCTTTGCATGGGAAATCCACTGCGTCTGTCCGGGAGGCTCTGCATAGAAGTTGTTTCGTTACTTTTCCTCTTTTGATTCGGTTTCTTGTTTGTTCCGTCGTTTCAGATCCTACACCTACCCAGCCAGGCAGGCAGCACAGCTAGCGACTTAACTGGCTGGGGGATCCCAGGAGCCTTTCGGAAATCCAGCCTCTCCCGTGGCCGTTTGGATACACACGCACACCCTGGGCGAAAGGAAACACGCGGGCATCATTCGGATTCGGAATGAAAGGATGCATTTCCACGATGCTTTCGCTTGACGGCCGTTCCGTGTCATTCAACCGACTTCATTTCCCTCGACGTGTAGTTCTCCTGGAGATACCCTCCTTCCTTCCCTGTCCAGCTTCCCCCCCCCCAATTCTTGAGGAGCCATCCATCATCCTTCCCAGGCTTCCCTCCTCCTTCCGAGCTAAACTGCAATTCTCACAGCAGCTTCGAAACCAAGTAGGATGGATAAAAGAATAATCAAGCAAAATGGAGCTATTTAGATACACGGGACAAATGTTCTGTGACTGCGGAGGAATTCAATCCAGGCAGTGTTTTTGCGCGTGCCATCGACGCCCCACCGCGTGTACAAAAGGAGATTTAGCAAAAGCCCAAGAGAACTCGGCCCGCTTCAGGTCACAAACGATTTTACCATTTTAAATTTGTTTTTAATTTTTTACCTATGTTTCACATGCGCCTATAATTTTAATCTGCGTAACCCTCCGATAGGAAGCAAGCAAGAAAACAGCTGGGAGGGGAAAAAAGGGATTTTCCCAGTCCAGATTTCTGTTGCAAGCTCCTTTCCACTCAGGGCGACCCTAACAGGATTTCGGTGAGATGTTCAAGCGAGTTTCCACGGTCAAACGCTTGGAACCTTCTTTGTTGCAACGCAAAGCGGTGTAGTCGGCGCTTCGGTCTTGGACGGGCAGTTAAGAGCCATTAGATCTACAAAAGACCTGCTCCCCGATGGCAAGCAAAAAAAAAGGCTAGAGCCTATTTGTTTCCACTCAGGGCGACCCTAACAGGATTTCGGTGAGATGTTCAAGCGAGTTTCCACGGTCAAACGCTTGGAACCTTCTTTGTTGCAACGCAAAGCGGTGTAGTCGGCGCTTCGGTCTTGGACGGGCAGTTAAGAGCCATTAGATCTACAAAAGACCTGCTCCCCGATGGCAAGCAAAAAAAAAGGCTAGAGCCTATTTGTTGCTAATGAAGAGCCATTAGATTTACAAAAGACCTGCTAGAGCCTATTTCTTGCTAATGGATGGATCCAGCTGCCTGCGGTGTTTGGACTAGTTATACGGCCCTTCTCAGAAGGAGAATCTGCCGGGCCAGCTCTACTAAGCCACTGCGGGTCCCTTCCTTCCTTCTTTCCTTACCGGGTAGCTCGAGAAGCGACTGGAACTCCCAGCAGTTGTAGACGCCGGTGGAGTCGGTGGCGCAGCTCTGCCAGAGGTTCTCGAAGATGGTGGAGGTCGTGATGACGTTCCCGGAGACGGTGGAGACCCTCCAGTAGCTGTTGAAGAGGGTGATGGCCAGCATCGCCCACCCGACGACAGCCAGGAAGAAGCCAACGGTCTCCACCAGGAGCGACATGGCGGGGAGGGCGGTGGGGGGCTGAGGATCGAGGATCGGGGCCCGATGGGAGCTCAGGCGTCAAGGATCCAGGGGCGGCGGCACGGGCTGGGTCTCTCAGGG